TTTGGTCAATATCTTTCTACTGATGCTTCCAACTACTGTTTGAATTTTTCGAGATGAAATACTTTGATGATTCTATGATTTTTTGAATGAATATCTTTATTGTTATTTCAATCACTGCATCTTGGCCAATACATTTCTGCTATTGTCTGAAGTTCTGAAATGGAATACTTCATCTTTGTTGTTTTGATTAGGGAATTTCTGCTAGTACTGAAAAGCTAGTAATCAAAACAGCAAAGCTAAGGATTCTAACCTAGTTTTAGTCCAAAAATTTCATAGAATAATTACAATGCTTTATCTTAGTATTTCAAATAGATCATAGCAATATAGCCTATGACTAATACTGACAGAAAATGTCCACAAATATCCTACCTAGAGCAATGATAACTTAGTCCCTTCAAAATATTTCCTTTGGGACCATGGATAATTACCACAACATCTCTCAAGTTGGCAAAATCCCTTTTGGAGGGATGGTTGCATTTCTCTTAAAACATTATCTCATCCATAGACAGAAATTGCCATTTTGATGAAGTTTTAGGAAAAGCCAGACATTTATGAACTGAATGTGGGAACTGACAGAACTGTGTGATGCTACATCTTGCCAAAAAATGCTGTATATAGTGGTCAGACAGTACATAAGTTCACTCAGTAGTTATCTCACTACTGAATAATTAAGCCTGTAACAAAGTGGCTGTTCATGGATACACATTAAGGTCCCTTCTAATTAATTGCCAAATTGTATCAATCTTTTCAATCATGGAACTGACCCTAAATACACAAGTTGCTAAATACTCTTAAGGTTCAACTTTAATAAAAAAAATAAAAATAAAAATAGAGTACAAACTGCTTTGCTTGTAAAGTGTCTGAGTTTAGTTTTGGTTGAAGGCCACATGAGAAGAAAGTAATTATATTGTAGCAATCATTTAAATGTAGGGATCATCCTGCTGTAGAAAAATTTTTGGAGTCAAGGGGCTGAGGTTAACAGATCAATCAGAGTGATGCTATGTTTTGCCAAAAAGACACTGAATGTTGTGTAACTATAAATGGTTCCACAGTACAGTAGCTCACTCAATAACATCTCACTGCTGACTAATTAAACTCATAGGAGAGCATCTTTTCATGTATGTGCAGTAACGTCCCCTTCGATTAGTTGCCAAGGTAGACCAAAACTGTGTAACTGGTTCTCGAAATGTTCAAAATGGTTGGATGCATTCTGAACAGACCCAAGTGACTAAAGATAGAATAGATTTTAAAGAAATTTACTTACCACAGAAGAAAAAGGCTATACTGTTCAGGTCAGCATGTTTCACGTATTCTGAAAGCAAAAACCAAATCAAGACTTTTAAAAGAAAACATATAAATAAATCAATAAAAAGAATATATAAAATTGTATTGAATAGCCTAATTGGAAAGACTCCCTAAAAAGGGATCCCTGGAAAGCTGTATACTGTTCAGGTCTAGGGGAGGTATCCATGTTTTTACTCAGAGAATCTTGATTTATTTGTAAATCTTTTCCAAAGAGTTACACAAATATTGCTAATTTCTTTTCTTCTATTTGATCAATGCATAGTAACAAGTCTGATCAAATGAACAAAGATGATGGGATCACTGAGCTTGACTTAAATCTCTTTCCTTCTTCAGTTCATTTCTACTAAACAGTCTGTATGCATCTAGATGTTTACTGAATTTCTAATAGTCTAGCCCAAGGTCAAAACTGAGATATCAAGGATGGGAAGATTGTGTTGTGTTTATCTTCCCAGTGAGAAATGCTTACTTTTTTTTTCATTTAATCTGGGCTTGAGCACTAATGTGTAGGACAAATATACAGTCATTTCAATCAAAGAATTGACTACAAATACACTTTAAAAAAAACCGTTTCACCCCAAGCAAAGTGATAATGCCAGTAAGAAACAAGAGGTTACTGGAAGTGAAAGTGAATGAGAAGACTTTAGAAGCAACCAGAAACTCAATCCTAAGTAGGAAATAAGGGATAAACTTCTACTCTTGTTCAAAAGACCGAAAAGGAGTTTCAATGGGGCCATAGGTGAACCTAACTATGTACTGTTTAATAACTAAATGGAGTGCTTACTCAAATACAAGTATCCACTAAAAATAACATTTAATGTGATATATATATATATATACTTTAAAAATTGATTCCCTTAATTAGCCTGAAGAAGGTCACAAGACCGAAAACATGTGTAGTAAAAATATGAAGAATAAAATATAATATATACACTAAAACAAATACACATTATAACCAAAATGTTTGCAGCTTCTCTCTTTTTTAAAATATACTTTTTCTCTTGTTGGAACAATTATAACCTTTACCATATATATATATATATATATATATATACAGGAAAATATATATGTATATATGTATTAAACCACCATTCACAGACCTATGTAGACAGAACCTTTCCATTTAGCCAACAGTTTGGGCTTTTGGTAGATCACTGACTATTCAGAAGTGAAATTATCTGTCAAATTACATCCTAGTGCCCTCCCAAACATGTGGCCATGTATGGGGGGGGGTCAAACAACTAGTGAAAAAGATTGTGGATTTGCCTGTTCACATAGAAGCATACCGAAAAACAAATTTTAAAATCTTTTTCATTATATATATATATATATATATATATATATATATATATATATGTTTTAAACTACAAACTTCCCATGATTTTTCTCAAATGCTTATATCTGTTCGAAGTGTATCTTAATGCAAACAAATGACATAATATATAATGAAATAAACTAAGTTTGACAAGTATTTTAAAATATTTTTTTTATACATTATTTTTATAAATACAAACATTTAAGTAAATGCTCTGTTTAATATAAACAGTATTAACAACATTTACCAACCTGAATGCCCAAGAAATCTTAAAGAAAATATGTGACCTCTGACAGAAAATGAACCTGTATCCTACACAGAACTGTCATATAGCCTGACATGTTATACCATTTAACTACAGATAAAGCATCTGGTTATCAAGGTTAAATATATATATATATATATATATATATATACACGACTCTCCCATCAAATATGACATATGAGGGTCAAGCAGATAAGTTCCTAGGAAACTGACAGCCTGACAACAGCACATGAGATTTGATTATAGTGGTGAAGGCTTCGTGCAGGACCATCCACACTTTTTGAAGGGCAAAATACAAAGACCTGGTGCACTACGTCCCCAAATGACCCTCCACAGGTCTTGAATTCAGAGTGCTCCTTCTCCTAGACTAGTTGCCATCCAAGGCTATAGAACCCAGTCTGTCCTGCTATTTACCCAAAGCTGGAGGGAGATGAAAAGGATATATATATATATATATATATATATATATATATATATATATGAGGCATGGTGGAGTAATGGATAGCGGCTTGGATTGAGGAATCGCATAGCTGAGTTCGAATTCCAGAAGAATCCATTACATTAACTTACGTGCTAATACCCTTGGGGAAATGTATGAATCCTTCTCTCCCTCCAGCTATGGAGAAAATAGCAGGACAGACTGGGTTCTATAGCCTGGGATGGCAACTGGTCTAGGAGAATGACAACTCTAATTCAAACTCATGGAGGGTCGTTTGGGAACCTTGTGGTTTGGGATGCACCAGGTCTCTGTATTCGTCCCTTCAAAAAGTGTGGAGGGTCCTGGAAGAAGCCTTCACCACCTCATGTGCCAGTGTCGGGCTGTTGGTTTCTTGAAACTGATCTGTTTGACCCTCCCACGCCAAATCTCGACGGGAGAGTCGACAACTATACTATATATTCAGCTACATAAAAATAATATTAAATAATGAAGCACCAAGAAGCATCACTTAAAAGAACATACACAAGGATGTTATGAGTTGTATTGGACATCAGCTGGAAGAAACACCCAATAAAAAAACGCCTGTATGGACACGTTCCTCCCACCTTAGTTTCGCGAAGAGAGAGAAGGCTTCGGCTAGCTGGTCACTCCTGGAGATGTAAGTGAGAACTTGTGAGTGACACCCTTCTATGGAACCCATTGTTGGAAGACCTCATCATACCTACATTGACAAACTTGTAGATGACTCTTGATGCCATTTAAAGGATGTGCCGACAATGATGTCTGACAAAAATGGTTGGAAGGAATGATTCAAGAGAATTCAAGAAGAATGATGATGATGATGATGATGATGAATGAAGCAAAAGTATAGTGAAAAAGAAAAACCTGCATTGGAAAATAAGCATATAAAATCCTAATGTTTTGATTGAATTTAAACAAAGTATTGGTGCTGGTCAAAGATACACAGCTATTTCAGCCACAAAGCAGAGCCAAGTTGACAATTGTATATTGTCAAAAGACAAGGAATTGCGAGCAGTAGATTTTTATTACAGATTTTAAATGTTCTAAGTTTCTGCTCGTTAATGAAGGAGAAAGAATGAAAAAGAAGAAAAAAATAAGAAGAGGGAAGGTAAGGCAGAAAGAAGAAGAAGAAGAAAAGAAAGAGAAGAAAAAGAAGAAGGAGAAGAAAAGAAGAAGAATGCAAAAAGAAGAAGAATCAAAGAAGAAGAAAAGAAGAAGGAGAAGAGGGAAAAGGAGAAGAAGAAAAGAAGAATGTAAAAAGAAGGAGAAGAAAAGAAGAGGAAAAAGAAGATAAAAGAAGAAGAAAAGAAGAAGAAAAGGAGAATAAATGAAGAGAAAAAGAAGAAGGTGAAAAAGAAGAAGAAAAAGTCATGAAGAAAAGGAGGAGAAGAAGAAGGAAAGAAGAAGTAGTAAAGGATAGGAAGAAAAGAAGAAGAAAAGAAAAAGAAGAAAAAGGTGAAGAAGAAGAAAATGGAGAAGAAAAAGAAAAGAAGAATGAGAAGAAAGACCAGAATCAGTTTGCTTCTATATCATCTATATTGACATCTATTAAAATTTTAGTCTAGCATAGTCACAAAAGTGGGGTACCCAATGAGGAGAAAAGTTATTAGGAACAGCTTTCAAGATTACATTGCAATCATTCTTCTTCTTTTTGGATTTATGGCCATATCACATTGAATCAGTGGTTCCTCTATGATCACTGAAGTTAAGCAATGATGAGCCTGATCAGTACCTACATGGGTGACCACTTGGGAGTACCAGGTGCTGTAAGCTTGGATGTGTTGGTGTTGTAATGGATAATGGCTTAGAATTGTTAATCAAAGAGTGAAATTCCATTTCTAATTGGATTCATTATATTCACATATGTGTAAATACCCCTAGGAAAGGTATGAATCCATCTCTTCTCCCCCTACAGCTATGGGTTAATTAGTAAAACGTGTATGACTAAACTATTATTATCCCTAAAAAATAACTCTTACAATCTAAAAAATATTTTCTGGCTTTAAATAACCTGCAAAGGGTTGATAAGCCATTGAAATTGAATCAGTTAATCAATATTCTTCTTCTTTGTAATGTGCCCCTGCAAGACATAGGCGATCATGGCTCTCCACAATTTCCTGTCCTTTGTAGTTCTTAATAAAATTAGTCTTTTTGCTATCTCTCCTAATAACTATTTTGCCATCCATATGGGTAGGTTATGCACTGCTTTGATCTGTGCCTCTTACCTCAATATATCTTGAGTGTTAAATTTTCCAAACCCTCTTTCCTCATTATGTGCCCTAGAAATTTCAGCTCTCTCTTCCTGATGTTAAATAAGTGTCCTTTTTGTTTTCTCTAAAACTTTGGTGTTGCACACGTTCAGTCCAAGATATTCCCTGCATTCTCCTGTAGAATCACATTTCTCTTGCCCCAAGTCTCTTCTTCATCTGTGAGAAGACTGTCCAGCATTCACTGCTATATAGGAGGACCAATATTACATAATAGTTCAGTACTCTTTTCTTTGTTTTCAACTAAATTTTGCTGTTTCTTAATACTTTGCTTAGCTTTTAGAAGACATTTTTCCCTAATCCAATGCACCTTCATATTTCAGTGTCACACTTTCCATCCTCTGTTAAAGCACTTCCCAGATATTAAAATTTTCATACTTGTTTGATCTTGGCATCTCCAACATGTAATTTGTATTTTTGGATGTTCCTTTTTGCTGACAACCATGCATTCTATCTTCTTGCAATTGATGTTTAGTCCTTTCATCTTCCTTTCCTTTACTTTTTCTGTAGGAATCTCTGTAGTTTGAATGTTGGGTTCTTCTTATTGCTGACAATTATACATTCTATCTTCTTACAATTTATGTTTAGCCTTTTCTTCAGACATTTATTTAGTCTCTTCTGCAGGAGTTCCTGTAGTTTCCTTGCTATTGTTATAGACAAGCATATGGTTGCAAGAAAGAAATACAACAGTAGAAATAGATTTACGTGATTTATTTCAATATGAATGTGTGGTTTTGGGACAGCTACCTTGTGGTATAGTTCATAGGCCGACTGAAGATCTGGGTTGATCTCTCATAGTAGTTCTCGCTGGTTGGCGTCACGCTACTGCTGCTGGCTGCTGCTGACCGCTCATCCTGACCGTGACAGGTCTCTTCCCTGGCCTCCTGTTGACTGCCTGGTGTACTTCCATGTGACCCCTTTTATGGTGTTTTTTTATGGCTTAACAGGCTCGAAAAATGACGCAAGTATAATTAGAAGGGAAGCATTTTTATTGGTCGAAAAATAGAAACACTTTAAAATACTATTTTATTTTTCGACCGGAACTCGTGTGTCAGGAACATGTGTAAATGAAGATAATGGTCATTTTGTGACGGGGCCTTGTCCCATTCACATCCGGCTCTCACTCTTGAGTATGTTAGTTTATTTGCCTGTAAATCAGCCAAGATATGTCTTATTTTATTTTATAACACTGTGTTTGCTTTCAACATTTTATGATTCACATATTTTATGTTGTTAAGGATTGTATTGTAAAGTATTAAGATTGTAGACCATTATATAACCTTAGAAAAACATTCAGTAGGGTTAAAAAAAAAAGACCCCCAAAAAACAAGTAAACTATGTATTTAGGTGAGTGATCTTTTTCATAGTTTCTTTTTATACGTTCGTTCCTAAATGTTTGTGCAGCACCTTATATACGGCTATAGATTTTACAAGAATATAAAATTAGTGAATGCAGTGGGAGGAATCTATAGTCTAATAATGTTCATTCTGAGATTCAGAAATTGTAATTTTATGGTAAAAAAAGCTTCCAACAAAACAGGTATATTAATCGTATTGATTTATTTGAACTCATTCTCTTTGCCTTTATTGCTTGGGTGTTTTTTACAGCTATGCATACCAGCTTTCTTCAGATGTCTGTTTTATTTTTAATTTAAATTAATTAATTAAATTAATTAAATTTAAGTTCCTTACCACAAATGATGTTTCTTTTCAGTTGCTTAACATGCCCCCACTACACCGCTACTAAAAACTCTACTTTTAAACCTGAGGCCAACAACATCTTTTTATTTTTTCGAAAATTGTGTAGATATGTGCATATCTTTAAATAGAGATTGTAGCAGATGTACACACATTCACAGATGTGAATTTTGTTATGTGCGTTCTCTTGAAATCATTCACAATTCACAAGCAATTTAAAAAAAAAACAATTCTATCAAGCAAAAAAGAAACCAGCACAAAACATGTCACAGAAGGTGAAGAAGCAGGAAAATATTGAAGGCACAAGTGTTTTAAGTGTTGAGGTATAACATTATTCATTGCTAATCCAGTAACCTTAACTGTCAAAGAGATTTATCTGTCTGTGTTGTTATTTCTTTGGTATTCATTTTTTTTCCTTTTTTTCTTTTTTGAGGTGTTGGAGTTTTGACATTCAAATTGGAGGAGACTCTTGCCGATAACTTGCATCTGCTTTTCCAAGAATGGAATTGAACAGAAATGTCAAAAGAATGCAAAGCAGTTGATCAGATTTACAGACTGTACCAAATCTCATAGATATTTATTCAGTTTAGTCTGGCACAAGGTATAATAAAAGAGCACATAATGACAAATGTAATGAGCAATGAGACCATACTGATTATTACATGTGACTCATGAAGAATTATGGAAATCTATATAAATTCAAATTTGATAAATTTTATGCATTTAAATTATAATAGACATGTCATTAATACTTTAGAGACAACAGGGCTGATCTATTTACCTATAAAGTCAAATGACAAAGACAACTGGATCTGATAATACAAGTGTCTAGAGCAGGGGTTCTCAACAAGGGTGAAATTCACCCCTAGGGGTGAATTTTGGACATTCAGGAGTGAATTATGACCACAGTAAGTTTAGAGGGGGAGGAGAGCAATTATAAAATTTGGCCTATCTGGCCTGTCACCTTGAAAAGGGTCAGGGATGGCATTCTGACAAATGATGAAAGGGGTGCATGCGACAAGCAAGGTTGAGAACCTCTTCTCTAGAGATTAGCTGACTAATCTTTATACCAGCCAATCAAATTGTTTCTCACATGTCTTGCATGTCTGGGCCTTTCTATGATAGTTTGCTGTTATTTGTGATTTTACATCAACTTTTTTATGTTCCAAGTGAAGGCTTGTGAAAACGGTTCCATCTTCTTGGCACTGAAACTCCAAACGAGGTTCCATCTCCAAAAGGTTAAAATGTATTTTATAAGTTGATCAGCTTCAAACAAAATGAAACTTCTTTTTCTACTTTTATGTGCTGTGTCACTTCAGGATATGGCTCTCCACAACTTCTTATCCTTTGTAGCTCTTTTCTCCATTTATCCATGTACCCACACTACCATCCATTTACACAAGATCAAGGTTACTTGATGTTTCCCATTTATCTTCACTATGACAATATGACCTGTGAGTTTCAAATTCTCCAATCCCTCTTTTCTCATTGTGTGTCCTAGAAATTTCAACTGCTTTTTCTGATTCTAAATATAGGCATACATTTTGTTTCCATATTTCTAAAACATCATTGTTACTCACATGCTCAGTCCATGGCATTCTCAGCATCCTTCTGTAGAACTACTTTTCTGTTGCTTCAAGTCTTTTCTTCATCTGTGAGGAGATTGACAAGTAGTTCCTGCCATATATGTGGATTGACATTACATAGCAGTTCAACACTCTTTTGCTTGTTTCTAATAAGACTCACCATTTTTTTAATACTTTGCTTAGCTTTTGTAAGGTATCTTTTGCTTTTTTACATTATTTACATTCAGACTCTTATCTTTGTTATTATCACAATGTTTCAGCCATTGTTGCCTTCATCTTTCCTCAGGTGTCAGTCTGATTAAACTTCAGGGGATTTCAAGGTTCAAATATCTGGGAAGCATTTTAACAAAGGATGGAAAATATGACACTGAGATCCAAACACGCATTGGATTAGCAAAAGAAGCATTTCAAAAGTTAAGCAAGATGCTGAGAAATGGCAAAAATTTATTATAAACAAAGAAAAGAGTGCTGGATTGCTTATATGGCAATGAATGTTAGACAATCTCCCCAAAGTTGAAGTGAAAACCGGAGGTAGATGGAATGTGGTTTTCAGAACGATACTGAGAATTCCATGGATGAAGTGAGTAAGCAACAAGGAAGTTGTAAAGAAAATGTCAACAGCAAGGACACTTATACTCAAAATCTGGAAAAGAACTTAAATTCGTTGGACACATAATGAGGAAGATGTTCTCAGAAAACTTATTCATCACAGGGCATATTGAGGGCAAGAGAAATAGGGGAAGATAATTACTAGCAATGTTTTATCTTTCTAAAATCTATAATAATTAAGTTATTTAAATTTTAAACTGCTTTAATTTAATCACCAGAGAAAACCTTTTCTGTCTGCCATCAGCATGGCTGATGCTAGACACCAGGTGAGTAACTCTTTGTGACTTCTTGGCTCACGTTTTCCACTGACATGAAGTTTAATTGATTGAATTGATTTTGAGATCTAAGAAAATTGTGCCAAACAATTTTTTTCATCAGAATCCATCTTCCACATTTATAAATTTACCATTCATCCATTCATTGAATATTGCTGCCATATCTGGTCTGGTACATCAAAATATCACTGTTCATCTCAAGGTTCTCAACAAAATCTAAAGGCAGATATGCAATGGAATTGGTCATGACTTGGCAGCTTGACTCCAGTTACTTTCTCACAGACATGAAGTGGCTTCCTCTGTCTGCTCTACATCTTGAGATTCTTGAGAAAATTC